TATCCCAGAGACTAGACGCGACATGATCAAAAGCGAAGTCGAACAAGAGATCCATAACCTAGAGCAAGTTGTAGACCAAGTCCTTAATGAAATCAATAATGACCAGATTCCTGAGCTTCTCATCCAAGAAACTCCACCTGATAATATACAACAGGGGAATAACGAGTTGCACTATAGTCTGGTAAACGAGATGGCACGTGCCGTACAAGAGTTTAGTGAAACAAACCCACTTACCAGACCACCGCTACCAAAAATAAACTCTTCGAACAAATTAGGAGCGCTGTTACAAATTGTGAATACTGAAGTCCTACCCAATTATATCGTGAAAGCCCATACATTGGAATATTTGCATATGCTGATTTACTGTGCGGCAACAGCAATTGCTAATGTTATGGGCATTAAGATCAGAACACGACGAGGAACTAATATCGGAAGGACTGAAAACAGAATAGCACCCTGGGAACAACGACTGCTGAGGAAGATTGAATTACTGCGTAGAGACATTGGACAAATTACGGAATACATTCGAGAAGTAAGAACTCAAAAAGTAGTTAAAAGAACTGAAGAAATAATTCGAAGACACTCACAACATGATCCAGAAAACAACACAGCTCGACACTGCCTGGACACATTAAAACAAAAACTCTTCGTTTATTCAGGTCGCCTAAGGAGATACAAAGTGAGTAACAACCGGAAATGTAACAATATACTTTTTGAGCATGCAGATAAGTCTTTCTATAGGAAACTGAATTCCACTGTAAAAAATATAAATAAATCCTACCCAAGCCAAGAAGAAATTCATGAGTTTTGGGGAAACCAACTTTCGACACCAGCTACTCATAACAACAATGCTGGATGGATTGAAGAAACGACGAAGAACTGTCAACACTACACTAATGTTTCCTATGAACCTTTCACCACAGAAGAAGTCTCGAACATTATCAAAGAGCTTCATAACTGGAAATCTCCTGGGCCAGACGGAGTTCAAAACTTCTGGCTAAAGAAGTTTTGGAGTATGCACAAGCATTTACCAGTATTAATTTAATCATGTTATTTTTAATCCGCAAGAAACACCACCATTTCTTACTCAAGAACTCAAGGGTTCACTCAAGGAACCACTTATCTAATACCAAAGGATCAAAATAACACCCAAGATCCTCCAAGTACCGCCGAATTACTTGTCTTCCAACTTTGTACAAATTGGTCACATCCTGTGTAACCCAGCGTATCTACCAACACTGTGCTCTAAACAATATCATAGGGCCTCAACAGAAAGGATGCTTTAAGGGTTCCATGGGCTGCAAAGAACAACTTATAATCGACTCATTCATTTCCAACCAGGCGTACAGCAAAAAAGGAACCTTTTTACCGCCTTTATTGACTACAAGAAGGCCTTTGATTCAGTACCGCATCAATGGCTGATAGATATATTGAAAATATATAAAGTCGATGTTAAAATAGTGACCTTTTTAAAGCATATAATGACGGAGTGGAAGACTAAAATTCACCTTCAAATACCTGGTGAAAAAAACATCGAAACTGAAGATATCCCAATTAACCGGGGCCTTTTCCAGTGGGACTCCTTGAGTCCTCTTTGGTTCTGTTTAGCGATGAACCCACTATCTCAGCTACTGAACTCCACCGACTTAGGTTTAGTATTAAAAATAACAACACTGTTGTGGCGAAGCTTAAGCATTTGTTGTATATGGATGATTTGAAATTAATGGCTTCCACTCGAAACCACCTAGACCAGATGCTAAAAACTGTTGAAAATTTCTCAAATGATATTAGTATGCACTTCGGTCTTGACAAGTGCCGTGTCTTAAATATAATCAAAGGAAAGGTTCAGCCCGGCGGATTCGATATGCAAAACGGCCAGAACATCGAGGCCATGGGTGAAAATGATATGTATAAATACCTCGGAATCAAGCAAGCGCGGAAGATTGACCATAAGCAAATGAAAACTGAGATAACAACAGAGTTTATACGAAGGGTAAAACAGCTGCTTCGTTCACACCTTAACAGTAAAAATTTGTTTAAGGCACTAAACACCTACGCATGTTCCGCGCTTAGCTACTCATTTGGTATTGTTAAGTGGACAAAAACGGATATAGAAAATCTTCAGCGAAAAGTACGAACACACCTCACAAAGGCACAAAAACACCATCCTCGAAGTGCAGTAGAAAGAACGACATTACCGCGGTATTTAGGAGGTCGAGGACTTATGGATATAAGCGAGCAATTAGAAAAACAAATTACTAATTTAAGAACTTATTTTCAGGTGCAGGCGGAGACATCTACTCTTCATCGCGCGATTTGTGCAGTAGATGACACAACACCGATCAAACTGAAGGAACCAGAAATGTGCATAAACCACCTTACTAAGAACGAAAAAATGCGCACCTGGATGGGCAAGCCTCTGCACGGGCGATATCCCAATGAGGTCAGTCAATACAATGTCGACAGTATAGCGTCGAACTATTGGCTGACATCAGGAAGGATGTTTCCCGAAACAGAAGGTTCACTACTGGCCATTTAGGATCAGGTTATACCAACCAAAAATTACCTGAAATATACCGTCCAAGACCCTCAGGTAAAAAATGACAAATGCCGATATGGATGCCAAGCTCAGGAAACCATTCAACATCTTACCGGGGGCTGTCAGGAATTTGCTGCAACTGAATAAAAGGAAAGGCACGACTCAGTAGGAAAGATCCTTATCAAGAGATAGCTATCAAACTGGGACTTCTTCAAACAAACCATCTTCCATATTATCAATATGTTCCTGAGAGTATACTTGAGAACGACAACTACAAGCTATACTGGGATCGCACGGTGCTCACAGACCAAACAGTGGCACATAATAGACCAGATCTCATACTAGTTAATAAACTAAAGAGACAAACAACATTAATTGATGTGGCGATACCCAACAACAATAATCTTCGTGTTAAACAGAACGAATAAAGCGCCAAATACAGGGATTTGTAAATTCAAATACGAAGACAGTGGAAAATGGAAAGTATCCAGACAATACCTATTATTCTCTCTACTACTGGAGTCATTCCAAAGAACCTCCTAAAAAATATAAAAAAGCTAGGTCTGAATGAACATCTCTACAAGACCATGCAAAAAGCTGTACTACTCTCAACATCCCGATGTGTACGAAAATTTTTGGGAGATACTCCAGCATACCAAGTCACCTAGGGCTCGATAATACGGAAAGAGTCCTACCAGAGCTCAATCCTTTTGATACCGTAGGTATCTGGGATGAGTGAATTTTTCCCTTAGAGGGAGTGTGAGCTGTATGGTTAAATCTGGATAATAATAATAATAAACCGTAGGAGTTTTTGTCAGTTATTCTATCAGGAGCGGCCCCCTGCGATTGGAGGATGCTCTCTGGGCATGCGTACTACCGATACACAGAGTAAAGCAGGGATACTTATTTGCCGTGGAACAAAAACTGACACCTAACAGTAGGTATAAAATGCATATCCATGAATATGTTGGATAAACATTTATGTCTAGGGTCGACGCTTAATCGATTTACCACTTCTTGTCTTGGTATGATGACTTTACCAAATATTTCTTTTAATAGAAATCTGACTTTTGTAATTATTTGGGGCTCTAGTCAGACAGTTTACAATTGCATTTTATTTGTCACATATTAATCGATATAATTGAAAGCTCTGTAGTAAGTGTACGTTTTTCTTACACTATAGTTGAAAATTAAGTATTTATGGTTAGTAGATATTTCTTTAGTTTTTCTTTCAAAGTCAACGAAGCAAATTTTTCAAGAAACATTTTACTCCAATACTGATTGTATGTTGAGGTTTTTAATTAAAATAGCGTCTGTAACCAATCTTTAATTAACACCTTTATACTTTTCAATTGATTCATCATCATCCAAGTCCACTGCTAAACATAGCCTCATGTGAGTTCCAATGCTCTCACACCAGTTTTTATTTTTTCTACCTAAATCGTCAGCCCATCCTGTAGGTGGTCGACCGACGATTCTCTTGTCTTCCCTTGATCTCCATTCCAATAACCTCTTTGTTCATTGCCCATCCGTCATTCTAGCTATGCGTACTGATTACCTCCATTTTGGTCTGGCTATCCTTTCGGTGACGTAAGTCACCTTGGTTCTTCTCCTGACCTCTTCGTTTTTTATTTTGGGTCGCAGCTTTTTAAAAGTTTCTCTTAGTTTTTCATATGCCGCTCACCTAAAGTCGATTCTTCTCTTCAGTTCATTAGTCTGATTAGCCATGCCAATCATAATTTTATGTCCCAGGTATTCATGTTTATCTACGAGTTTTACTTCTGGCCGACCAATACTGATGTTCTGGTTGGGTACCAAATTTGTCATTATTTTTCTTTTCAAAATTTTTATATTTAAACCTACATTTGCTGTAGCCACAACGAATTCCTGTATCATCTGTCTTGCCACTTCTTAGTCCTCAGTTATTATGATTATATCATCGGCGAAACGTAAGTTGTTTAGATATTCTCCATTTATTTTTATTTCCTTTGTCAGTCAATCCAAATTATTAAAAGCATGTTCCAGCACAGTATTAAAGAGTTTAGGTGACATTGGGTCTACTTGTCTAACCTCGCGCTCTATTTTTATGCGATTACTATTGATATGTAATTTGACTGTGGTTGTTGCCTGTAGTTATAATTTTGTATATCCATAGCCTAGCCTGCATTCTTTAAGCGCCTATAATATTTTTCCTAACTCAACTGTGTCAAAGACTTTGGAAAATCGACAAATATTAGATTTAGAGGTTTACAGTATTTCACTAGTTTATCTGTTAGTATTTTTATGCTTTGTAGATGGTCATTCGTTCCATAACATTTTCGGTATCCTACCTGTACTCTTGGTTGGTAAGTCTCTAATTTTGTTAATTGATTAAATCATCCTTAAATGTTTTGTATGAAGCTATAAAAAATTAATACAATTATTAATAAATAAAACAAATAAATTTTCGTAACTATTTAATTTAAGAATTTTCTAACAGATCAACAACTTTTTTGTAAATAATCTTTGGCGAATCATTGGCAAATATAAAATCTAAATGATTCCAATTAGAATCTGGGACCAAATATATCTCCTTAATATTGCCCAGTTCCCTGGATAATCTGTTCACGTCCAACTTATGTGTCAGCCAATCATTATGGCTATAAATAAGGACTACAGGGGCAGAAATTTTACTGAGATCATATGGCAATGGGTGACTTTGATTATACAATTGATAATTTTTTATTTCTCCAAAATCGTATTTGCAAAACCTATCGGATATTGTTTCTTGTTGGTAGTGAATTATTTGTTTGGTTGCTGCACCAGCTGGATAGTGTGCTAATATAAGACCTAAATTAGAGACATCCAATTGTTTAGGGTTAAATCCGACCATAATGAATAAAATATTTTTGCATAAGACCTAAAATATAGACATTGGCTTAAAATATTTGATTAATTTTCTTATATATATATATATATATATATATATATATATATATATATATATATATATATATATATGCATATAACTAAACTTGGAACACTCTGTATATAGTTTTTTAAAAAGATTTATTTAACAATTTTTTACAAGACAACCTTCATGGAAGAGAACAGATTCTAAACTAAAATTATATAAGTAATATTTTAATGTCTTACAACACAAATACTATGATAAAAATGTAATATTAGCTAACCGGAGATAATGCTGAACAGTAACGCGCCTTGGGCAATGTCCTCTAACTATTTGCATACACTGCTGGTTATCCACTATAACTCCTTTCCCCTTAAAATAAAGCTCTTTCAGGAAGTTTGATTTTGTTTTCTTTTTGTTTTGATGTTCTTGCTGCTTTCCTCTGTTATTTTTTTGTAAATAAAATATAATAAGGACAGGATAATATCAATATACAGTAGAATGGTCCACGCGCATGGAATGTGGTATTTTGTATTTTTTGTCAGAATAGGAAATGGTCCATTGGTATGCATTTATTTAAGTTCCAGTTCCAGTTTCCATTGGTACAATTTTGGTAGGATTACAACTTTTTTGTCTGTATCTTTGAGGCATTTGTGATACTAGATTATTAAATTTTTAGATATTCTAGTACTAAAAGGTACTCTTACTTAAAGTCTGTAGGCTATACCGTTTTCTAGAAAAATAGATTTGAATCGATTTCGATGTGGGGGACAGCGTGGGGACACACTTTTGTGGTGTAAGCTACACCACAGTAAGTTGTTTAAGAATATTGTTCTTAAAATACCTGGATTACAGGTACATACTTCTCTAATGATGTCTACTATTTGCTCTTCCGGTAAAATTTTAACTTTATATACGTCTGGTGTATCAAATTACTCTACAGAAAACTTATTCCTACTTTTAAATCGAAGCAATTTTTAATGAGAGATCTAGAATATCTTCCATTGTTAAAATCTGTTTCTCTCCGTTTTAAGTACAGTTCATAACGAGTTATGATAAAATTCACTAATTGTGTAAGATTAAAAAAAAAACAGTTCATGAATAGTTCTTGCTTAGATGAATCGATATGATGTGGAATGCAACTTTAGTTTCCCATGTCGGTCCATTCATCATCTGCTTGTTTAAAGAATAATGCTTAATAAGAATTTAAATTTTGGTTTCGAACAAGTAGAAATCGTCGGATTTTTACTTTTTGCTTTAATTTTTAGATGTAGCTGCTTGCGTTTTTAGGAAGTTATTTAATTATTACTTCTTTTGGCAGAAAAGATTTGATTTCACGTTTAGAGATTCCTACTGAGGCGCTTTAATGAGTCTTGAAAGGACGAAATACTTGTAAGCGAATTATAGACGTACTATACGTAAAATTAAATATTAACTGTATAAAATCAATATAAACATTACATGAAAATAATTCTTACATATATTACTTCTATAATTCGAAATTATTTTTAAGCAACAATGACAATAATATTCGATAGTTTTTTCAATAAGTGTATTTACCTTTCCAATATTTTCTCTACAAATTGTGTTAGTAAGTTTACTGGTAAGTCCATTTTCGGGTAAAAATTCGTTCTTTCCAGCTAATTCCATCAGATATCCCAAAGGACTGTGTACATGAGACAGTAGTTGCAATAAAGGACTAACAGTATTTTTAAGATAGGCTACTGGAGCAAGACTTATATGAAGCTTAACCTTTTTATTATATTCTGGTTTTTCAGAAGCCATGACATAAAAAGCTGTATTGCCCTGAGAATGTCCTATATAATAGAGATTTTGTTTTCCTGTATTATTTAACGCATAGTCAATCATTGCTGGTAAATCATAAATTCCCATTTCGTTCCAACTAAATTGCCAATATTCGGCATCCTTATCTGGATTCCAAGTCGTATGATTTCGTGAATAAAAATTACCTATAAAATATGAAACGTTAGTGTATAGTTAGTTTTAACATTATATCTATATTTCGGGATTTTAATCATACCCGATTATCTAGTAGAGATCTGTGAATTTACTAACATCAACTCTTAATCCCGAGGTGTAAGACAAAAAGTGCCTAGGGGATGCAAAGTACATGGCAAAAAATGTTCCTTAAGCGATGCTCCAGAGTGTTAATTACTAGGGGATTATAGCCTTAGTACGATAAGAGCACACTATCGTACCTGACAGAATTTAATCTTAACTCGTAGGAACAAATAGCCAACAAAAAAGGGATCGCTTAAAAGAGTGCTCAAAAATGATTAATTTTTCTCAGCTTATCAATATAAATAATAACGGTAAAAATCAGAGAGGCGACTCTAGTTGCGAATTGAGTCTCCGCCCTAAAAACTGAGCCAGAAGTTGTTCCGAGAGGAACAGACTCTGAGGCAGTGATTAAAAAACGCGTCTTTAGAGCTCAATAAAAGAGAATGAAGAAAGAGGTAAAAACGGAGGCTGGGCCGTGGACCACAAAAAAACCTACATAAAACCAATGCGATGGTTCCGGTAAAACCAAACTAAAATTTAATGATGGTAAAGATAAAGATCATAGATGCATAGGAGTATGAAAAAGATCATTCTCGGATGAGAATACAGATCCATATCATGATTTCGAACAACCACAACCAAGGGAGTTCGAACAGACAGTGAGAAATTGTAGAAAAAGTTAACTGCGATATCGGCAGCAGTTTAGTAGAAAGTGATATAACAATGGCCATGATACATGTGACAATTAAAAAATTAAGCTAAAACTAAAAAAATGGCATTTATCAGATCCGGTTTTGAACATTGACACATCTGTTTTGAAGTAAGAGGTAACTATAAATTAGAAAGCATTTCAAGTATACCTGAAATATTATTTAGGTATGGTTAAAAGGACGATAATGCATACACCGAACCTAGACATGGTCGCTGAACAATTTCAAAAGGTTTTCACGTCAGCGTTACAAGAACAGAAGTCAGACAAAAATGTAAGCCAAAAGATGAGGTGAGTAGGGCGATTATCACAATCACTGACTGAGTGCAATAAGGAACTGAGGAAGTCAAAAAGTTATTACTGAAAAAAGAGGAGATCAAAGAAGATATTTTAAAGAGTTACAGAGATATTAGACTCTATAAAGTTCTCTCAGAGGACCCTCCAATAAGTATTCCTTCAATCTAAATTAAATCAGCTAAATACACTCAGAATGGTGAAGAGACTCTGTAAGAATATTTCAGGGTGCACTTTCCTGAAAAACAAAACTGATACAATTAGACAAACTAGACAAAGATAGCAAACTAGACCGGATACCATGATCTATGCTTCTCGAGTAGACTGCCTTATGGCAAAAGAAATAATAAACCAAGACAAAATTAAATGGATGAATAAATAAATAAATAAACACGTTTCAGTCATCTAAATCACAGGATCTGGACGAGATTTATCCAATACTTGTTCGGAATGGAAATGATCTCTACCAAAAATTATGTGTGTATAATATATGTATACTACAGGCTAGCTTAGAACTGGGATACATACCAACCAGGGTATAATATGAAAAATCAAGAGGTGATGCTCGATACTATCAAGCATTCGCAAAGGCGATTGAATGATACGAAGTCTTATGTCATCTCTTGTGGTACACTTGGTCACCTTAGCCCACAGTAAATTAAATGGCACAGTCTGAGATAGAATGCAACCGCATATGACTGTAGTTACAAAAAGAACTGTCAGTGTAAGATTTATAATAAGTTGTTTAATTCCACTAGAAAATTATAGCTGTGTATTTTAGGCAGAGATTTTTGTAATAGTGTCAATAGTGTAATCAGGTGACTAGAGAATACATGACATTAAAATTGCTGATGAACTTGCCAGAAGAGCACCAGGTACCAAATACTTGCCAGAAGAGCATCAGATACCAACGGCCAAAAAGCATCTTTCGCAACCGGAAAAATCTACACCAAAAGGCAACATAACTGTTACTCGGAAAATATATAAGGTAAAGCCCTAGGCGAGTACAAACTGGTACCGGGTTCTAGAATCTTGGAATGAGTAGCATAAGTAAATGGAAGATCTACAAGAAGCTATCTTGACGTAGTGTCACAAGTACTTATCGTACTTTATTCTGAGTAGCAAATTAATTTAGATTTTATACTAAATTTTGATTAAAGAAAAGACTTTTGTTTTTTGTTGGGCATAAACCATCATTTCATTAAATTCTTACACTAAAGTTAAATTGATTAGTCCACCTGCTTGCTGGGCTATCAGACGGACTTTTTGCATTAGATGATATGTAGATAGATTTTCTTCTAAAGATCCAAACCACATTAATAAAGAAAAGTTAGTCTGGTCTTCGGACATTTCGTTGATTTCATCATCATCATTATTATTAGTGGTATGGCCGAGTTAAGCTTCGACCTTTCTAAGCCTATTATTTATACGGATCTGTTAGTTGTAGCTTGGTAAAAGTTTTTCAAATCGATTTTCTTGACATCCTTGTCCATATAATCTGCCCATTTCAATTTTGGTTTATTTCGTGATCGTTTTCACTCAGATTTCGCAAAACAGAATATACGTCTTGTAAGGCAGCTTTAATTTGCTCTGATGCTAATATAAACTTAACTAAACAATACCAACTAAACTAGAGAGGAAAAGTAGATACATTGACATTAAAAACCAAACTCCAATCTAAATATATTAGCTATAATGGGAGCTATCAACAATATGCAAAGACAAAACCTATTTTTAACTAGACAAGGAATTTAAGCAAAACATTGTGTGCAAACATGACCAATAACCCACAGTATGGTGGAAATATGTACGAGTAGTGTTCTCAATTTGATCTCAAGGACCAGAAGTACCTACTAAATAAATTTTTGATAGACATCAACTGTAAAAAAGAATCAATGAAATTCTCCATGAAAAAAAAAAGAACAACTTACTTCCCTTTTCTGGATGTGTTAGTCACAAAAGAGGATACAGGATATACAACCAATGTTTACAAAAAACCAACACATATTTAAATTAATACTAAACTACAACATGAACATCAAAAAGAAAATTATTAAATCATTATATGATAGAGACCAAAAACACTTGCTCTAATGAAAATGCATTTAAGAAAGATAAAAACATGCTGACACATATCTTTATTCTTTGGAATAAATTATTATCCATTTTCATTTATAGATAAGAAATTTCACAATATTGAAAAAAGCAAACACAAAATATCAAAAACAGACAAATTAAAAAAGGATAGGAAATAACTACACCCCAACAACATTTAAAACAATCAAATCAAATAACACACATAGGGCAGAACCAAGAACTGTGTTTATAAAATACCTTGTGAATGCAACAATTTTTTGAAGCACGGTAAACGGCTCGTATCATTTTTAGAAATTAAAATATCGTTGTTGGTGCCTAGATTCGAACTCGAACGCCAGTATTTTGCAGCTGAGCTACGGTCATCCAGATCCCAGATATGCAGACATGCCTGGAACAATAAGCACATAGTACAACGTAAAGACGCACCAACAGTCATTAAAGAAATAAACAGCAAAAAAAATAATGATGAAGCCCTAATCTTACTAAATAAAGAAACATGTGTAACAAACTCATCAACAGAGTGTAGCAGGTTCTGGTTACCAATATTGAAAGAAGATATCACTAAGAGTATACCAATATTATCGGGTTAATAAAAAGTCAGAGACAAATTATCTACAATTAACTACAAAAGCACACAAAAATCGGTATTTTTATCAATCCGAGGGTACAACATCACCTTCAGAATTTCATCTCAAAAGCATGGCTATTAACTTGAAAGATCGAGACCAAGTAAGTCAACTGTCAAATTGGCTACCACAATGCTCCAATTGATAAATATCTACAAGTAAACATAATTTCTAATTTAAAACAATGTTGTTTGGAAACGACTTTTTTAAACATTTTAACAACTCCAATTACCGCTTATTGGGCCTAATAGTTTTTAAGTATTTTCTCTTGAATATTAATATTTGGTTGCATCTGCATTAAAAAGTTATATGAAAATGGTATAGGTTGACTGTAGTGAGTCAGCCCTTAGGTTTTTCTATGGGAAAGTCTTAAGGCTGTTTGATCGGTGCACCAAAACATAGAGAGAGTGTTTTCTCTGTTATTAAGCGACAAAATGTCTCGAAATTTGGACACGTTATTCGAAATTATGTTGCCTTTAAAATGACGGTTTTACTTTTTTTTTTATTTTTTTGAAACTTCTGTTGAAAAATTTGATTATACTGTTTAACGTTCTATTATAACCAAACTTTTTACGCCAATCACTTTTTTTCACCTTTCTGTGTCCAATAGTCGAGAAGAGCGTGTTCCAAGTTTGAAGAAAATTGCCAAAAAATACTAAAATCTAATAGTGAAACGTGTTATTCATCATTGGTACTTAGTTTTATCGTTATCGCCTTCGTGACGTCAAATTTCATGTCACTTAGGTCTCAGGTCAGTTAGATCTTGTTAAAACTAATGTGAATGGAGAATAATGCATTTGTTGTCATTAAACTACTCGTAGTTTAATGACAACAAACCGGCGTCACTGAGTAAAGGTATTCTGGCGTAAGCAGTGTAGAAAAGTAAGTGATACGCCCATTTCAAATCGCAATGTGGTTTAACTGCTAAAACAGCCTAAAATAAATTGTTTATAACTTTAGTTTGAATACACTCTAGCTAATATAGTTGTAGAAAACTCAAAAAAATAGAACAAAAAATAGATGATACAGATCTATATTTGTACTTATTTATTTTTTTGTTATATAATTAGATTACAATTGATTTTTTTACATGAAAAAGCAAAAAAGCTTTAAATCAATATCAGTAATATTTTCTCATTAATTATTTCACTATTTGTGTGTTTCCGATAATATTAATAATATAAACAGTTACCAATTTGTCTGAGGAAGCCAGTAAAGTTGT